TTCCAACCCTAAAATTCTATGACTCTGATTCTATGATCTTGCAGCTTAAAACTTTCCAGTTGCTTTTAAGGAACAATTAATCAACCTCTTTCCTCTTTCCTCCTCCTAGACAGCACTCAATGCCATCACCAATAATCAGCTAATAGGAACCATGATTGATTTTCCTCTCAGAGGAGCCCAGATGAGTTTCTCCCACCAAACACAGGAAATGAGTCTGTGTGTGTAAAATTCACTCCGTAGGAAATGACTGGCAACCTCAAGGGATTCAGCAGCAAAACGTAAACACAATAGTCCTTTTGGTGAGAGTTCTTTAAATAGCTGTTATTAATGTCCCCTCCAAAATGTCAAGTAGAAAACCACAATCAATTGCTGTAGTGATAGTAATACTATATATAGCAATTGTACATGAGTGACAGAGACACTGGAAACCAACTATTGTTGACTAGAGATAGTAAAATTCTCCTTGTTAAGGTACATGGTATGACCACAATCACACTTGTATTTTCGAAGATTAAGGATAAGTAGCATTTACATCATAGAATTTCAGGGGTTGGAATGGACTGTACAGATCATCTAGCCCCAACCCCTGCCCAGGGCAGGGACATCTTAGACAACTAGCCCCAACCCCTGCCCAGGGCAGGGTCATCTTAGACAGCTCCCTGAGCAGCCAAAGTGTAAAGAAAATGAGCTTAAGAGAAGCTAAATACTTTAATAAGCCGTGGAAGACATTGAGGTAATATTTTCTCCCCTATCTGATCACATATTAATAATTTATTTCCATTCTCAGCAACTCCCTGGGCTCTGCTGGCTCCAGTGGCACCTCCAGACCCTCAGGGATGTGGGCAAATCCCAAAGCACATGCAGTGAGTTTGTACAGATGTAGGGCCCACGCAGGGTGGGGAGATGTTCCTCCCTTCCTGGGAGCTGTTCAGTGCCCAAACACCTCTGGGGGAAGAACCATTTGCTAATCTCAGCCTAACCCTGCCCTGACCCAACTCCAGCCCATTCCCTCCAAGGCTGCTGCTACTTTAAAGCAGTTTACAGCAGGTTCTGCAGGGTGGAGGCTGCTCTGGAGGGGAGGTGGTTCTGCTCTTCCTTGGGAAGAATTTAACACTCTGGTTTTGCTCACACAGAGTCTGTGACAATACAGATCTGCTTTCCTAGAGCCTATCTACAAATAGCAGGTTTTTTTCTAAGGTTTCTATTTCTGATTGTTCCTCATTCAGCTCATTCTGAAGATGGCACTCCAGTTCCTGAGTAAGAGCATATGAACACAGCCCAAGCAGCTGACTAGCTTAAAATTCATCATGCCTCATTCAGTTCCTTAATTCCTCATTAGCTTGCATGTGCAAACTCTCTCTCAGAACCTAATCCAAGTCCCTCGGGTGTCAGTGAGAATGGGTTTTACCCCTCAAATTTAGCCATCTAAAAATCAGGCATGTATTCTAAATGCAACTGGGCAGGAGCCACTTGTAGGCAAAATAGAGAAGGATCAGCATTTCCAGGATGTGCTTCACACCATCTGCCTGAAAGTCTTGTCTCGAGAGGGGACAAGTGTATTTCTGGCAGCCACTGCCTTATTCCTCTGCCTGGCCAGGGGCTCTGTGCAACGAGCCTCGAAGGCTCCTTGATCTTTGGTGAGTGAAGCCTGGTTCATGGTTGGACTTGGGGATCTCAGAGGTCTCCTCCAACCCTGATGATTCTCTAATTCTGTGAGGCCAAGGGGAGGAATCTCTTTGCTTATTTTACTAGAAAAGGATTCAGGCTTTCAGTTTTCTATGCCCTTTATGCCAAGGTAAATTACAGATGGGTAATCAAGGACCCAGAGTATATCCTAAGCTGCATCTCATGGACTGGCCCAGGTTGCCCAGGGAGGCTGTGGCTGCCCCAACCCTGGCAGTGTTCACAGCCAGGTTGGATGAGCCTTGAGCAACCTGCTCTGGTGGGAGGTGTCCCAGCCCAGGGCGGGGCTTGGGGCTGGGTGAGCTCTGAGCTCCATTCCAACCCCTAAAATTCTTTGATTCTGTGCTTATCCTAGACTGACTAACAGATGTGTTTTTATCTTCTAGGGATACAATGGACATGAGGAAACCTGGGAGCTTTTTGGTGCTCTGATGAATATGGGATTATAAACCAAATTGAATTGCACCTGGAGCATCTCATTCAAATGGATGAGTTCTGAACCTGGGACCCTTCTTTACCTGAAGCAGCAACTTGTTGCATCCTGGAGGGGAAAATGAATCTCACAAACTGCACCACGGAAGCCAACGTGGCTGTGAAGCCAAAAACAGTAACTGAAAAGATGCTTGTTACCCTGACCTTGGCCACAATCACAACCTTGACTATGCTGCTGAATTCTGCTGTAATTGCAGCAATCTCCACCACCAAGAAGCTGCACCAGCCAGCAAATTATCTCATCTGTTCACTAGCTGTGACAGATCTGCTCGTCGCTGTCCTCGTCATGCCCTTGAGCATCACTTACATCATGATAGATAAATGGACTTTGGGCTATTTCATCTGTGAGATCTGGCTCAGCGTCGACATGACGTGTTGCACGTGTTCCATCCTTCATCTGTGTGTCATTGCCCTGGACAGGTACTGGGCAATCACAGATGCTATCGAGTATGCCAGGAAAAGAACAGCCAAGAGGGCTGGGCTGATGATAGTCACTGTGTGGACCATCTCCATCTTCATCTCCATGCCCCCCTTGTTCTGGAGGAACCACCACGGCGTCAGCATCCCCAGCGAGTGTCGCATCCAGCACGACCACGTCATCTACACCATCTATTCCACTTTTGGGGCGTTTTACATCCCTTTGACTTTGATCCTGATCCTGTACTACAGGATCTACCACGCTGCAAAGAGCCTCTACCAAAAGAGAGGCTCAAGCCGCCACCTCAGCAACAGGAGCACCGACAGCCAGAACTCTTTTGCCAGCTGCAAGCTCACACAGACCTTCTGTGTCTCAGACTTCTCCACCTCTGACCCCACCACGGAGTTTGAGAAGATGCACGCAGCTGTGAGGATTCCTCCTTTTGAGAATGACTTGGAGCTGGCTGGGGACAGGCAGCAGATCTCCACCACGCGGGAGCGAAAGGCTGCTCGCATCTTGGGGCTCATTTTAGGTGCTTTCATTTTGTCCTGGTTGCCCTTTTTCATCAAGGAATTGCTTGTGGGGCTCCACGTGTGCACTGTTTCTCCAGAGGTAGCAGATTTCTTGACCTGGCTTGGATATGTCAACTCTCTCATCAACCCTTTGCTGTACACGAGCTTTAACGAGGATTTCAAGTTGGCCTTTAGGAAGCTAATCAGGTGTCGAGAACATACTTAGAAGTACTGGGAGATGCTGCTGCTGACATGACTCCTGGCCTTAAAAATGAGCAAAAGAATTTGACTCTGTCTCCTTTCCCTTGACAAAGGAGATTTTTGTGTTTGCCTATTCGCTTGACTTCTCTTCAGCCTGTGATTCATTATACCTTTTTTTAATCTTTACTGTTACCCATGGGAAAGGGTTTGAAATAAATTTCTTCTACTAAGGGAAATGTTTTTTAGAAATGAAACAACAACAAAAATGCTATTACTATTAGGTACTCCTGTTTGAGACATTTTGTGTAATCAATGATACAAGAATCAATGAGATTCACTTTTATACTTTACCCCATTTCAGAACCAAACATCTCAATTATCATGAACTGTACAAACTGAAGGCCATAAATACATGTTCAGACATTAATAAACACTTCATGGTCATGAGAGCTAAATGGCAAATCCTTCCTGTGCATTCTGAGAAAGCTGCAACAGCCATTTAGAAGGGAAATTATAATGGAATCATAGAATCATAGAATTTTAGGGGTTGGAATGGAGCTCAGAGCTCAGCCAGCCCCAAGCCCTGCCCTGGGCAGGGACACCTCCCACCAGAGCAGGTTGCTCAAGGCTCAGCCAACCTGGCTGTGAACACTGCCAGGGTTGGGGCAGCCACAGCCTCCCTGGGCACCCTGGGACAGGGTCTCACCACCAGAACAGGCAAAACTTCTGCCTAACATCTCACCTCAATTTCCCTCCTTCAATTTGTGCCCATTGCCCCTTGTGCTGTCCCTGCAGCTCCTAACACAGATCCCTCTGCAGCTTCCCTGGAGCCCCTTCAGCTCCTGCAAGGTGCTCTGAGCTCTCCACACAACCTTCTCTTCTCCAGGCTCAACAGCCCCAACTCCCTCAGCCTGTGCTCACAGGGAGATGCTCCAGTGCTCTGAGCAATCTGCTGCTCTTCCCAATGCATCCCAGGATTCCATTGGCCTCTTAGCCACCAGGACACACTGTGACTCATGAACAGCCTGTTGTCCATCAGGACCCCATCAGCTAAAATCAAATTATTTTTGCTAGAACACCAGGAAAAGGAACAAATTTGAATCAGCAGTTACTCTCAGTACCAATCTGCACATCTGCCTTGCATTAGCTTACACTCTGCAATGGCTTTCTTGCCCACCTAACCCATGACGAGATCCTCTAGAAGGAGGTTCTTGCTCAGCGAGTACTTCACAGACTAATTTCCCTTGTCTTGAGACACTGACAGAGGGTCCTTTGTATCCTGCCTTCAGTGCTTGTAGAAGTTAAAATGTCCTCATCCAAATATTGTGGAAATCAGGTTGGGAACGGGCAAAATCAGAGCTGAGAATGTGAGATTGTCCATTAGCAACTCCTGAGCACTGTCTAGATATTTATTGCTTACCTTGCACCGTAATTTTTTCCCCCTGTCCATTTTTCTGGACAAATCCTTTTGGAATTGCACCAATATACCATATAGAAAATATTACATACATCACCCTGACGTGCAATAACAGTGAGCTATAGTGTGGTGGCTCCACATCCATCACAACCAATATCAGAGGCAGCAAAAGTGCTGTAACAGCACTGCAAGGCATCTCTTCAAAAATGCTTGGAAAATCTGTGAGATGACAATCATTTTTCTTCCCGAGAGTCAAGGAAGTGGAAGTAACATGTGAGCAATAAACTCTGGCTGGAGCTGAGAAATGACATCCTTAATGGTGAGGGAAAGCACTGGCTTGGAAAGATGCAGTGCCACAAGCTGAGTGTAAATCAAGTCTGAAGGTGACAGAAGTGTGACCTACTCCTTACCCACACACAGGGGCATTCTCTGGGCACTCCAAGTTTCCCTGCCTGACACTGGGAGGTTTAGCTGCTCTTCTGAAGCTGCTGCTGCCTCCTCCCCATGCCTTTGAGTTTCCTACTAGCTAACCTTAATACCTAAAAGAAAGAGGGGACAATTAATCTCAGCCACTGAAAATGTCTTTTGCTGGGGAAACAGAGAATAATTGTGGTTTTTCCTTTTTGCAGCTTGTTGGAGGTGGAAAATGTTGACTGAAACTGGGGGAATTGTGTCCTGACCATGCCAATTTATAAAGAATCATAGAATTTTAAGGGTTGGGGTGGAGCTGAGAGCTGACCCAGCCCCA